TTATAAATATTAAAATCAATTTTTAATTATGATTATAATGAGAACTTTGGCCTATAACTTGGAAGACAGCTATGCTCACCACTATACCACCAATGCTATTTAGCCTGTAGCTGAGAAGCCTAAATAATTGAACAACACTGTTATAACAGAACTTCCCCTATGTCTATGTGCTAAGCTTTCTTTGTGCTTACTTCTGTACAATAGGAAATGGAATAGGCATATTTTAGAATTGAAATAGAGTAGAATAGAAAAAATAGAAAAATAACAGGTAGTTGAAATTTGTTTCAATTTAGCAATAAGTAATATTCACCCAATGATACATCCAATGATTAGATCTTTTAGGGGAAAGTTAATTCAATCAGTGTAAATCAAATCAATGCAGATCAAGTGATAAGATTAGTTTTTTGGTTCACATATGCACCTGTAAATCTAATAACACCTTAATCATGAAGATTCATATTCTCACTTTCATGTTAGTGCAAAGCATTTCTAAGGGGTTGTAATCCTTGAAACCCGTTTATGGAATAGTCATATTTAGAATCCTAGGATAATTGAATTTTCCCTGGAGACTAGTGTCCAAACACATTCTTAGTTAGCCTGCATCTAAAATTTGGAAAGTTTTTTTGTGTGTTTGGTGCCAAGAAAATTAAGTATAACTATACTGAAAATATAGCCCCCAAAACATACTCTATTTAAACCATGTATTTTTCACTTTGGAATCTGGATTTAAGGAAGAACATATAAGTTTGGTGATGTAGTGGTGATTGCAATGTTTTTGATAAAATCCAAAGGATTTGTATTTACTCTGTCAAAGAAGTTTTTCTTTCTCAGCTCAACACAGGAAGTTTGGTTTTGTTTTTGTTTTGAAATAAGATCAGTCAAGGATTTTAGAAAAACTCAGCCATTGATCATGCCTCCTACCCCTATTGCCCCTAAAAACTCTTGACAAGAGAGAGCTATTTGATCCTCAAATGCCTTCAGATCATTTGCACATGAAATTTTCCATCTTCAGGTGGCGTTGAAGATTCCAATATTAACATTATTTAATATCGTTTTGATGTTATGTTTAAAAGGCAAAATATGGACTTGTGAAATCTCAAAGTTCTTAATTTTTTGCTCCACTGAGATGAAAAAAATTAAGCTTCAATTTGTCCTTAGGAAAGAAAACACTTAACTAGATAGCAATGCAAAACTTATTAAATCTCTCCTCAATTCTTTTTTTTTTTATTGAATGGTAATGGTGTACATTAATGCACTTCTGAGGTAGAGTGTGGGGTTTTCACACACAATCCAAAACACTTCCATCAAAATAGTTAACATAGCCTTCATGTAATTTTCTTAGTTATTGTGTTAAAACGTTCATATTCTACTCATAGAAAGATTCACTTGTACCCTTG